GTACACAATTAAAAACATTTTATTTAGGCCTATCTATGGCCTTCAAAAAGTTGACGAAACATGTAGAGTCGTGAACTTTTTGAAGGCCATAGATAGGCCTAAATAAAATGTTTTTAATTGTGTACCAGTTTTAACGTCGAATATTATTTATGATTTTAGAAATAAAGCAACTTTAATTTAAAGGAAATGGTTAAATGTTTTTATTGAAAAGAATTAGGATAATTTATACAAACATTAAAATTATGAAATTCAGAACTACCTAAACAGAAAAAGTGAAGGTGGAAAAAGTATGTTTGTAAAAAGATTTCTAGGGGAATCAAAACTACCAGAAATGAGGTAAATAGTTAAATATATGGTCTGAGTATTCTGTTAAATCAAACGTTATTCTGGCATGAACAAACATTTTAATGTCTGAACTGAGTACACTGTAAGATCATCTGTTACTTACATGAGATAAATGGTTTCATGTTTGGATTGAGTACACTGTAAGACCAAACGTTACCGATATGAGATCAACAGTTAAATATCTAGACTGAGCATATTGTTAACGTCAAATGATATGTTTACGTTTTTTCAAACAGATGCTTTTGTTTTGGAAATCTTCAAAGTGAATATATATATATATTTTTTTAACTAGGATTTGGACTTGGTCTAATGATGACAACCAACATTGTTATTGTCAACAAATACTTCAAACGCTACAGGGCTACTGCTGTTGGAATCTCGATGGCTGGATCTAGTGTTGGATCATTTTTTATTCCACCTCTTACAGAATATCTTTTGGAGATATATGGATTATATGGTACCTTTCTCCTTCAAGGAGGTATTATTCTTCAAGGAGCCATAGGCGCGTCTTTGTACAGGGAACCATCTTGGATACTTGAAAAATTTCACGAGTCTCCAACAAGTAGGACTGAAATAGTTCTATTTGAGGATTCCGATGAAAAACAAATGCCCTTGTTTCCAAATGAGAAATGTTCCAAGAATACTTCAAAAATGGCAGAAGAATTCCAAGATAATGACTCGAGCGATGTAAAATGCAAAAACTCTATTAACAGCATTGAACTACCTCATGACATGGCATCACAATTACTTAAAACTAAAGAAATATGTGAGAATGAATCTACGAAAAAGCAGTCATGCTCATCGTTGACTCTGCACGTTGGAGACAACAAGAAATTAACGAAGGATGAAATGTCAGGTGGCAAGTTGTTTGTTTTGAAATCGTCCATGGATGTTTTAAAATTTCACATACTCCACATGCTTGGGATTGTCAAGGATCCCATGTTTTTCGTCATAGCCTTGCCGAGAATCATTCTAGCCAACTGCATGTTCACTTTTACTATGGTGATCGTGGATTATGGAAAAGACCAAGGTATCCATGAGTCCGTGGCTGTCTTCTTTCTGTCTGGATTCTCTGCTGCAGACTTAGTGGGCCGCATGGCTTCAGGATGGATTACAGATTGTAAGCTGATGAGGAGGAAGAACGTGTGTATACTCACTTTGTTAGTGATTGGTGGTTTATATGTCGTCTTGCCCTTTTGTATCACATTAATGACAATAATGATAGTGTCTATCCTCATGGGTGTCTCTTCAGGCACGGCCATTATACTTCAACCTGTAATTATGACAGAGTACCTTGGACTGGAGAATTTGCCATTTGCATTGGGATTTGTAAGCTTCCTAAACGCATTCATCTCTATTTGTAGATCTCCATTGATAGGTAAGTAACACGATTTGTTTCTTATGGTTACTACATTTTTGGAAATAATGATATCTTATTGACACCAAACCATACATTTCACCACTGATCTAGTTTATTAGAATTAGAATGTTTGATATATTTTCCTATCAAATATAAACAGACAATGAAATGTTGATTGTTCATAAATGCAATAGAAGGAACTAGTTATTATGTTAACCAATCATTATTCTTGTAGTTTACGTAATAAAATAGCATCCATGTTCATTAACTGATCAATCAGCATCCATGTTCGTGACGTAACGAATCGAAATCCAGGTAAGTTAAAAAATAATCAGCTTCCATATACGTTAAGTAGCGACAGAGGCTTCACGTTTGGTATAAATAACTAACAACAGATCATCCCCATTACAACACACTATCATATATAAAATATAACACCAGGTTTCACGTTCGGTATACATAATTAGTGATAGGAGGTTCCCATTACGATACACAATCGTATTTAAAATATAGCGACAGAAGGTTCTCATTACGATATAATATCATGCATAGAATACAGCGACATTGGGATTTTTATTCGAGATATATCTAACTATAGCGACAGATCGTTCTGATTACAATACATTGTGTTTGACTTTTGAGCCTTAATTTTGCATACTAATACCTTAAAAAATTCTACAAGCAATATTTATCCAATTCAGATTAAAAGAGACTAACATTCGCAGGGCGAATACAACATGTCTCCACCACGCAATCCCAACATGGCCAAATTTTTGACACCAGAAAAATTGTGAAAACACACACACACAAACAAAAACGTAAACTCTCTATGTCATTGCTTGGGTCCTGCAGGAAGGTATCTTTGTACCAAATCCCATGTAAGTTGATTGACCTACACATGAATAATTCACGAAAACCCCAAACAGGGCTTTTCTCGCTGAAAAATTGAGCAAAAGATAAAAATTCAAAAATTGTCTATATCTATGTTTGGGGCCTGCAAATAATATCTTTCTACCGAATCCCATGTAAATTAATTGAAACTAGGCGAAGTAATTTATCCAAACCCCTAAAAGTATGTGTTTATTTAACCTTTTGACCCCTAAAATGACCCAAAATGGGCATTTCCCACCTTTTTGTATGTATGTGTATAGGACCTATATAAAAGTATCTTTGTATCAAATCCCATGTAAATTGTTTTTTGTTTTTTTTAATTTATACTTTACTTATTATAATGATTCTATGTTTATATATAATGTTAAGAAAACACATAGGTTCAAAAAATCAATTTAAGACAAAAATACAAAACCTTGTAACCCGAGTGTTTTCGAAAGGTGGACCTTTCTTCGTCAAGGGTAAATAGTTTACAGTATTTATATTGGTAGCTCAAGAATATCTAGATAATTAATTCTACGAGTTTATTCGTCTTAATTATTCAACAAACCAGTTTTAATGTATGTTTTTTATCTTATCGCCAAAATTAAGAATATCGGGAGAAAGAAATGTGAATACTAATATAATATAATAATGTTACGTCTCTGGTCGTTTGTTAATTTCCCGTATAATTTCTTTCCGAGAAACTTCAGCGATACAAGTCTTTTCTTAAATAAAACTAGTTTATTATTTCTCAGTTCAACTTTGCAATACACTTAATTTCCACAGTCACTTTAACTTTAAAAAACGCTATAATTCACAACGATTCACGCACTTTACTTACGGTCACCACTGCGCTTGACTCAATTGTCCATCTCTATCTCTGCCTGTCTGCAATTCAATTTCCGATTAATTGTCTCGCTTTATCTGGCACGCTTATATACAGGAATAGAGGGCGTCTAGCAAATACTGGATTATTCGTGATGTTCCCCGATCCTTCTAGAAACTCATCACGTGTTACCAGCGTCACGTGACTTCCGCTGTCGTGACAATATAATATCGTCACGATTTTAGCAATGAAATAAAATCTATTGTCTTGAATATAGCTTGCTCGCTGAACAATTTTAAAAAGTGGATTTTGAGCATTAATATCTAACGCAGGCGAACGGAATGAGTTTTATAGATAACAAGTTTAAAATCAATTCCATTTCTCATATCCAACCAGTTCAAAAACGTACTTTCGGAAAAGTCCTCCTCACCGGATGAATTCGTTCTTGATTGGCGTACATCGACGTCACATTAATTTCAATTAAATGAAAAGCAAATGATTTTTTTAGTGTGTAACAAGGTTCATTATTCGTTGCATCAATTCTGTAGAATGTATATCATTAAAGTAAACGCGTACAAAAATTAGTTATGAAGACATTCAACACGCGTGCGATATCGCAGAATGCGTTTCTCTAACTGTCGTCTGCGTTCGTCACCTAGGTCATTGTTTATGTCATATTAATACATATTTTTCAAATAACGATATAAATATGGATCTATTATTGTGAGTAAAGGACAGTTTAAACACCATATACGTAATATATAACATGTTTTCATATTTTAAACCACAAGTGTTATAACTTATAGGCCTATTTCTACTATCTTCAGAGTGAGCATAATGTTTTATGCAATTTCTAAGTCACAGTTCAGATGCCGCAAGAAACGTTCGTATCTTTGAAATGAAATGGCGCAATACCAGCATTCGGACTCACTCGGAAACTTTCGGCAGATTCTAAGAATCTACCGTGGGGATCCGAATGCGTTAAATCCGAGGTATTTTAACTCAACTGATGTCCGAATGCTTCAGCGTTTTAAAAACACGATACTACTCACAATAATGTATTATTAACAGTAACATCAAAAGGCGAAGAAAAAAAAAAAAGATATACTGTACAAATGTCTAAATGAGAAATGTTAGGGTTAGCTGTTGGACACAATTATGTAGTTGGAAAGTTTAGATGGGTTGAATGTCAGTATTCTATTGCAATGAAAATCAAAACTATAGAAACAAAATAAAAGTAACTGGAAATCAACGTGTTAGATATTATATTTTACTTCAAACAATATTTCAAGTAGCAACCATTTGTAAGAAGGCACACAAAGTGCACGTGGCAAGAAACACGTGTATATAATTCTGTATTAATTCCTATTGTGTGTTTGTTCGTTCGTGAACACCTACTACCCCAGTTTTCGAGCTTGACTTGTTTTTGTGGGAAAACATGCACTAACATTTTACAACATATTTCTAGAACGGATTTTATGTTTAAAACAAATTACCCAAGTTTTCGAGCTTGACAGGCAGACTTGTTTTTGTGGGAAAACATGCACTAACATTTTACAACATATTTCTAGAACGGATTTTATGTTTAAAACAAATTACCCACAAATGTTTACTTTATGCTTAGAACTATGTTGAGCTGGAGAGAGGTTAAAGGTCACCTCTCTCCTATCTCGGCTAAGCTGTTCTGGACGGACCTTCCGTAATTCTTCGCGCATGGGAGATGACGAAAACATGGCTCCTCCAGAAACGTTTGGCCCTGAAAGGAAAATACATTTAAAAATTAGACACTTTGTGAGGTCCGGAAGTGGACCCCACTTTTAACATTTTAAGACTTGGTAGATGTTATTGTCATATATAGGAGTGTAGAAAAGGAATCGTGACTTTCGCTACTCGTAGTGAAAGTCCGGGGTTTCTTCCTTACACTCGTAGCTTCGCGGATCTTAATGGAATAATCCCTCCGGATGTGTTTCCAAAGACGCATCACTCCGCTATTTACTTCTATAGATCTTAAATTTATTGCGTCGCGGGTGTTAATGCTTGTTGCACCTCTCGAGGTGAAGACTCGGCATTTTAATAGAGAATTTCGTTTCTTGGGCTGTTGTTTTCCTTCTTCCTTTCTAACAACAGAAAGCTGAAAAAAAAAGGCTTAAAAGAGAAAAGAATATTGAGTACACGGTTATTATCGATGGATAAAATCACTGCTATCCCTCCCGGTCCATACCCAATGGGAGGCACTGAATCCGAGTTTATAAACGCCCTGCATAGAAACTGTACGTCACGCCATGTACGACTGTACGTCACGCCATGTACGACTGTACGTCAAGCCATGTACGACTGTGCTACGTCTGCTGCTCTTTGGAGGAAGTTTGCCTTCTTCTACTTCGGCATCAAGTACATCACTTTTAGTACGGTACTTTCCTGTCACCCTACTCAATCTAAATCTCATGTTTGTTTTTTATTTTGTGTACCTGCTAGGAGAGTTTAAACAGCAACCAGATGCAGGGGTATTTTTCAGCGAACGCGAGAAGACACAAGCGTCATCTTAAAGAATATCTGATGTAACGTCGCCTGCGTCTGAGGACTGATTACCACAGACTCAATAAAGAAGAATTCTCCCAAAAGTGGTACCCGGAAAGCTCCTGTATCTTTCAGGTTATCGGAAATGGCCTGTACCTTGATTTTTAACATCAGCGTGTCTCCTAGTCACACGTACAAGTCACCACGAAAGCTCATTTATACCCCAAGCCGTCGAACAGAAGAGAAGGACAGCGGTAGGCTAGTCCCACTACTGGCTTCGGTGTAGTGTTCTTTTAGTGTTATGATGCAGAACGAGCAGCTGTTTGTTGTAGTTACTCTAAGTTTATTTAATCTGGCTTGAACAGGAACAATTTCGGGGGCTATTTTTTCCGTGAGGTCGCGCCTCGACGTTTCCATAGGTACCGAATTAACCCCCGTCCCATATTTTATTCCAGTCTATTGTGGGGTAATGTGCTTTATTTCTGGCATTAAATTATATATATTTGTTTCGTTTCCATATATTTAAAAAAAAATTCTTATTTCCTAGCACATGTACACTGGTGTGGTTGTTGCATTGGTGGACATTTTTGTATCATTGAATATTCTCTTGTGTGGTCGTAGTAGATATATTCAAAATAACTTTCCGAGATGCTCTGTCTCTAACATTTACATGTGAAATGTGCTCATCAAGCTGTGAGGGGGTTTATCTAATTCAATGATGCTTAATCCCCCTTTTCTGGGGTTTATTTAATTCAATGATGCTTCATCCCCCTTTTCTGGGAGGAGGTTTACTTTTTCTCTC